ACATGAAAGTATATTTTGGTTTAACATAAAAGTTATAGTGGGTCAATAAACCACTGTAAAGTTCAGCTAGTTGTATACCATATAAATGTCAAATATAATACATTTTCATTTAATTGCAATTAAGTGTCTGAAAACATTACATTCAGTGAGCATTTTAATATGAATTATTTTAAAGTAACAAGTACTCTTTTTCACAGTGCGTCTTGTCTTCCTGACCGGCTGACAAATACCCAAACCAGATCAAATAAGCTACTGGAATATCAATAAATACTTTTTAGACGGAGTTGGCTTAGCAACATGTCAACTAAACTTAGCAAAATGCGAAATTCTAACAATGAGGAGCCCTATATGTGACATGTGGAGTTCCTGAATATGCAGAATCTTTCAAATCAGTCACTTAGAAGATTCTTTTTCATGTGGACATAGACAAAGCAGTTTTGTGTTTTGTTTGCAGCCTAAAATATAAAAAAGTGATTGTACCACAGACGGAAGTCTTAGAGAATGACATTGGTTATCCAGCATATACATGTTTTGCAGTCATGAGAAACCATGTGAGCTCTTAGATCTGTGATTTAAACACTCGGTGGATATGTGTCTGTGTTTGGCCCATTGTGGCCGGTCTGTAATCCCGCTCTATTAACACCTCTGACTCTTTGCTCTTAGCTGCTCTGCTCTCTCACTTCTGTCTATTTGTCTAAGAGTCGGGGTGGAGTGATGACGTATCCGAGTCCAGCTCCTCGGGGACAGCGCGATGGCTATCTGTGTCCGACTGTTATGACTATCTCTAACAAGAGCAAGAACCCTCCAACCATGGCGAATGGGGCAGACAGGATGTGGCTTAGATGTTTCCTTTTAGTTTTCCACCTTTTAAACCAGATGTTTTATGAGCTTGAGGTTTCTGAATGATTGTTTTCATTTTTCTTCTGAGTAAAACATCGAATGCCCTAAAACGTAAGACAAAGTATAGCTGTAACAGCCGTGAGTGAAATGATTGCCACACGACAACCCTTTAAAGGTGAAGAGTGTGGTTTCTGCACCACTAGCAGAAACAAAAGAATTGCAATATTTCCAAAACACTCCCCCCCCCCCGTCTGTCATTGGCCGGACGAACAGATAGCCACGCCCCAATATCACACCATTGGTTGTTGCTGTGTGAGGATGCTCAAACAAACAGAGCAATGTTTTGAAACCGCCACAGTCACTATGTAAACAGTATTTTTTATTTTTTTAGTTTATACTTATAGTTATCTGCTTATTAAGGTGGGATTGGGGAAATGGCTATTACAATTCACAAGAATAAGAAAGAAATAATGCGATTAAACAGAAAATCCTAAAATTAAGACAACACACTGTCATCCGCTTTCCGGCAGCTGCTAACAAGCATCATTTTTATAGATGGTTTGTCACAGATGGTCCAACAGATGTCTCTCCGGTCTTTAGCGAGTGTGTGTATGTGTGTGTGCGCATGAGCAAATACCCATAGATGTGCTCCTTGTCAATCGTTACGCTGTCAGCCAGGGCCTTGAGTGTACTCTTTATAAAACATAACGCCAAAGTACTTGAGCGTGTAAATTAGGGCTGAAATTTGAGAGTTGTGTCAGGAGGACAGAGACAGCAAGAGAGCGACAGAAAGCAGAAAGAGAGAGAAGCTTTCTCTTGGGTGTCGGATTCTGATGAGCATCGGTCGTGGAGAATCCAACCCAAAGCAGCAAGACCGTTAGAATGCCTTTTCTGGGGAATTAAACACGTCGAAAGCAAAAATATTAATTCCTTGAGAGAAAAAAAATATGAAAGCATGGTGTTTAGCTGATGACTCTGGACTGATTATTGCATGTTTCTAATGGCTATTTTTGGAATGCCAGTGTTCTGCATACTGACAATTAATATATACATGCACTGCCGTTCAAAAGTTTGGGATCTGTAAGATGTTTAAAGTAACACCAGGGAACTTTTGCTCTCGGGGTGGGGTCCCCCTACAGTTGGGAAACAGTATTGTCCTCTTGACCTCTACTACATGCACGTGCAATTGTTGACAACCACGATAGCCCTGAACACTGTAGGAGGAGGTCACATGCAGGTGTTCTGCTTGCGTCGCGTGTGAAATGTCTTCATCCCAGGTACAGTGGCATATATTTCAGCATGTCATATGAATATAATTTCATGGGTTTTATTTTTTTCTAACGACAAATGATCGCGATGATCACGTTTACAAGCCAGCGTCATTATAGTAGCCTAGTCTATTGGTTACCGTTTTACTGGATCTATAAGATACTTCAATGCAATGTTTGAGTGGTAGATAATAACCATATATCGTCAATATTATAATATCAAGCTACCATAAATGAATCTGCAAATTTTACAAATCGATTTGCATTATAGCTTGAGGCAAGACAAATAAACAAATATCACAGACATGTTAGGTATCCTAAAATATGATTTTGTACATCTTATATATTTACTTGCAAGAATGTAGCCCCTACCAAACTTGTGCACGCCGTTTAGACACAGGCTTTCATTTGATTTTTTTTTTTTTTTGCCAAGTCCGCATCGGTCGGGCACCCCTCCTCCTCCTTCAGCTCACGCCAGCGAGAAAATGCTGGCCCAATGTTGATCCTCGCTCTGCCTTTAACGCGATCACTTTCTCTTTCTCTCTTTTTGCTTTGCTCCGACAAAACCTTTGCTTTCTTGTTTTTCTGTGCTGCTTCGGCCATGACTATAACATTTGGCTCGCACGTCCGATTTTAAGGAAGTGGGGGTGGTGGTGGAAGTGACGTATATGCCGTAAAGCAGTCGAATTTTGTAGTTCTCTTTGTTCGCCAGTTACTACCCGAAACCCGACGTTTAAAAGTACGATTAAAAACGCTACAGACCCCGTCAGGCTATGGCAGACGTGTCATTCAACCTATTGTAAGTCGATGTACCATCACAAGAGACTTGGAAATATATTATGAAGGTTGAAAAGTTACCTGGTGTTACTTTAATGTTTTTAAAAGAAATCTCTTATGTTCACCAAGGCTGCATTTATTTGATTAAAAATACAACAAAAAAACTGTAATATTGTTGAATATTATGACAATTTAAAATAACTGTTTTCTATTTGAATATATTTTTTAAAATGTCATTTACTCCTGTGATGCAAAGCTGAATTGTCAGCATCATTACTCCAGTCTTCAGTGTCACATGACCCTTCAGACATCATTCTAATATGCTAATTTGATGCTCAAAACACATTCAGTATTATTTTCAATGTTGAAAACAGTTGTGGGAAAATTTTCAGGATTCTTTGATGAATGGTAAGTTTCATTTATTTGAAAACATTTGTAACATTATTGTAACATTATAAATGTTTTACTGTAACTTTTGATCAATTTAATGCATCCTTGTTGAATAAAAGTATTGATTTATTTTTTTAATTTGCTTTTTCGATTCTATATTGTGAAAAGGTGCCAAGAGATCTTAAAAATCCTGGTTAATAATGTTCCCCAGTTTATTCTTTGCAATAAAAACGAAAGGTCAAGTCGAGTGCATTGAGCGATGGGATACACTATTTCATGCTGTGTTCTGGTTGTATGCTGCACTTTTTCTTTTTCTTTTTTACAAATGCAGTAGGTCAGCTGAGTGAAATAACACACTGTTCATAGTGTGCATGCACATTTATCTGACTATTTCTGCATTGATTTCTCTAGGGAAAATCATGATAAAATGTGTTAAATGGAACAGAGAATACTACTCTCCTAATGCTACCTGAAAGCATAAAATAGTCAAAATGTTTCAGAAATAAATTCTTACTCAGACCCAATGAGAAGGTTAAAATATAGAGGACCTTAGTGTGGCCCCCCTCCATCACAGGGCCCAGGACAACGTTTCTGGTACAGCCCCGCTCATATGTAATTCTAAATGAGTGTAATGGTATATATCAGTGGAGCAAAGTACACAGTGAGTGAGAGAAGAGAAAAAGAGAGAGAGCGACTCACGTCTGATCAGTCATGTGGGGGAATCAGCATGTGCCCTAATGAGCAATTTCAATATCCTCCGATGTCATGTTGAAATGAAAATTAATAGTTCAATATGGCTCCACGCAAATGCCACGCATCTCCCATAACCCATATCATGTGGCGTGACCAAATGAGTATATTCTAATAGATGTAGGCAGAAGAGAAAAGCTGATATCTTCAGTAATCAGGGTTTTGAAAATCACCATTAAATGAAATTCAGGGATGGATGGAAAAGAAAAGGGGAGACGAAAAAAACCCAGAGACATGGAATGAACATCTTTACCCCATAATGTGCTCATGTCTTTCCCACAGGCTGTGAGCTAGTCACCGCAGGGTTGACTTACCACATACACCAGTCAAATTGGGCCTTGAATCATTGGAGGCCCTGTTCATCTTCATCTGAGGAACCTTTTCATGGTTCCTAGAACTATGGCGGAAGTACCCGGATTTTGGCGTGTTCGCAACGCAGGAACTAGGAACGATTTTAGTTCTAGGAACTCCTTTTGGAGGAACCAATTTAGCTCCTACTTCAGAGTAGGGTCTAAACCAGCATTATAGAAACTATCCGTGACGTTAGTATATACTGATTTGCCGAACGTACGCGAAACACCACCATTTTTATGTAAACACACAGATTATAGCCTATATATTTACTCCACAAACTAACTCTATGAACACGGAAAACAGTTACGCTGAGGAAAAAATCCAACGCAACTTTGAGGGGACCAAGAGAAATACGATTATGCATTTCTGCCCAGCTAGCAGCACTGTACTTCAGTCCACACTTTGGTGAAGTAGTGTTGCTTGGACGTGATGTTCTTGGGTCCTAGAAAACTTTGAAGTCAGCCAAACGAGTACGGACATACTTAAAAGAAGCCTACGAGACTTCAAGTGAGCCATTTGGGACAGGGACTTAATTGTGTTCCCAATAGCATTTCAACTAACTTTCTGATAATGCTAATAAAAAGCAATATGCTAAGTGCATGCCATATCATCTCTACGTACCTCCCATCCATAAGTGGTCTCTTTTACCGTGGCGCTCTGCAGTCCGTTGTATGGTCCGAAGCGTTCTCCCATCCGAATTTTGACTTTAGCCCAGATTCCAAGGCCGGCCCCTGGAACAGACGACTCGCGGAGCTCCAAGTCAGCAGGGATGGGAATATCATCGGGAATGTAGACGGGCACCTCATAGGGTGAGCCCTCTTTAGGAGTGAAGTCCTCATTGCAGGGCTGAGGGGACGTGGGACCCACCGCAATGGGGGACATGATGCTGTCTTCTGTCTCCTCTTCCGCACTCTCGCCGGTCACGAGATTGGGCTCTGTGTCGTACATGCTGTCTACTGCCTCACTGTCATCTGAAAGACAATACAGAGACATTTGCAATACATTAGCAGAATAAAGAGATACAAAGCACGTCAAATGTTCTTCCGCCTAATTTCTTCAGATTACCATTGTATTTAATTTGCTGATTTTGAAAGGATAGTTCACCCAAAAATGACTATAGAGACCTTTTGAAGCATGGTCATGCAGCTCTTTTCAATGTAATGACAGACCATGTGTTTGTGGCTCCAAAAAGGACCAAAAATTACACTATAAATCAGAAAATCTTGTACTATAGCATTTTTATAATCAAACCAAATGGTCATCATTGGTTGCTCTTACTTAATTTTGCTTGACAGACACTAAATGATGATAAAAAATCCTCTGTGTGTTCCACATACAGGGTTGAGACAACCTGATGGAAAATAATGGGTAAATACTGGGTGAATGTGTAAATTTGTCTTAAAGTTGGTGGATTCTGATTGGCTGCAAATGTTTTTATCGTTCATTGGATTTTTTTCTCTCCAAACAATATATACTTCTGTGTCGTTAGTACCGTTACAACTGTTGTATGGACTTCCTTATTCCCACAGAATTAGAATGATTATTAAAACTTAGTTATTTTCCCTGATGAATGGGCCTTTAGTCTGAACAAAACTCACTGACATAATGCTAGGATGTTCTGGCAGGCTGCCAGGGTGTTGAGAAGTTGTTGTGAGTGGCCCAAGTCAAAAGAGTCAACCCTCAAGTCTCTATGATGTTTGGGTTGGTTCCTTTCTTTAAATACAATCTTCTAAAAGGCAAAAAAGACTGATCACTTTTTGTACTAGCATATACTCAACACTAGGTTGTTCAAATCATACACCATTCGGGAGAATAAACCATCATCTTTCTATCACAAGTCCATGCTCTTAACCACTTCGCCACACCAACCAACAAGAGACCACCAGCATCACCAAGCCACTGAAACAAGCATGAATGATTCAAACCAAACTTTTATTGTTATATTACTGGTTATACACTGATGTGAATAAGACGCTCCGCCTAAACTAAAAAAATAATAATCTTCTGCAACTGAGAGTCTGGCGCAGGGACGATCCCATTTATTTCATAGTCCCCGCCATTTCCTGTCTGATCATTTAAAAAATAATGGCAGCAAATGACCCTGTGGCCTGACGCCACTGCCAGCCATCTATGTTTATTGTCACTCTTTGCCTGACAGCATAATTATGCTACTCATCATTCATGCTAGCAAAAGGTACAACTCTGATTACTAAAAATAGGTTCTGTTTCTCTGCATTAGTTCTACACGCATGCATCACAAAGTACAAATGATGTGAAAGCCCTTGAATACAAGACCATTGGAGCTGGAGCTTTCAATCTTGGAAAGATTACGCAAAACAACTGACTCAAATGCGACCTGTTCTCCAAACCAGAACCTGACACATCTCACCCGCATCTGTGTTCTAAAATTTCTTAGCTGAGGTCTGAGGCAGTGCACAAGACACTTTCGATCTGTATCCATGATGACAACAACTACGTAAGTACGCATGGATGGACTCGCTGTAATTTGTAGCAGCACCACTGCAGTTTGCTATCCAAACACAGGACCAGCAATCAGGGCTAACTAGGCCGCAATTACACCAGGAGTGCTTCCAATCAACCAGACACAGCCCCCCTGCCAGCACTGCCAAGAACACAAGTTTATGACTCCAAACGGCTTTCTCTCACATTCAAACGCTGTTTACTTATAAGCAACAGCAAAGTCATGAATAAGTATAAATTGCAGTTACTGCTAAGTTGGCTTTAAGCTTTAAGACAGCGGTTTCACCCGGACAGTTAAAAGGTAGGGAGGAAGAAATGTTCGCCATAAAAACCCTGAGAACTTTGGAAAGTTTGCCCTTTAATACAACATTGATAAATTGCATTATTACTCTGTGCTCTGTAATGTTTGATTTTGATTGGTCAATGGCAGCTAAACCACATAATCGACCATTGATTCTCTACACGACTGTGCTAGTTTCATGTTTTGGGTATCACTTCGTAGTCTCTGTTTTTCTTGCATAATAAAATAATGTAACTATATACTACGGTATGATTTCAAATCAATGTTTCATGTCATTTCTTTATACACAACTCATTTGTTTAGAGGTTCTGATCACCTGTTATTACCAACCCATAAGACTGATCATCTTTTAAACATAAATACAGATATTTTTAATGAAACTTGACAGATTTCCGTCCTTCCATTTAAAGTCCGTCCACCCAAAATGTTGACTCTCCCAAAAGTTGTAAAAGTAATCCATATGATTTGAGCATTTTGAAGTCGCTTTATAGGATGAACGGATTTAATTTATGCTGTTTTTGCCATGTAAACAATCACCACACATACCATATAAAGCACATTAAATAACAGCTCAAACATACTGTACTTTCTTGACATGCGAGAACCAGTGAGGTTTGTTCTCACGTGTTCCCCAAGAACGGCTTTGAAACGACATGAGGGTGAGTAATTGATGACAGAATTTTCATAATTGGGTGAACTATTTCTTTAAATCTAAAGATGTCCTAGCTTCCCATGGTAACTTACAGTATGCAAAAGTTAGGCCTGGAAATGCAAATATTTGTGGCAAAACCTTTTTAAACGCCAACAATTCTCAACAATCAGGGAATGTATCATATAAAAAAAACTCCACAGTAAAAGAAATAAAATAAAATGAAAAGCTTTTAAAACAGATCCTGCGTCATCTTGCAATTTTGAGGGCAAAGAAATGTTTTACCAATTTCTTTAATGATCAGACTTTCATTGGAGTCTCAAAGCAGCCAGGCAATTAACTTAAGAACATGTGGCTCAGTAGTAGCTTCCCCTTTTCACAGATCAGTTAAAGTTTTATAACCACTGCCTATCTGGTGCTGTTTGCAAGAATCAAAAGTGTTTTCAAACCATTAAAACTTTTTTCCCCTTCTCATTTTTGGCTTATGACCCGAGTAAATTTTCAACAGCCATAGAAAGGGTTGGAAAATCCATTAAATACTCCAGTTAAAAAGGCTATAGTGTACGAACAGATAGCTACACTGAAAAAGTGATTTAAATGACATTTAAAGGACTTAATTGTGATGAGCAAAACATCAGAACCATCAGAACACAACACAATTTTCACAAACATATATGTTGCTTAGGACTCCAAATGGGAAGTTTTCAGACAGATAATTTGCTTTGTTCCAAAACATAGACTTGAATTGTTACAATGTTGCAGCTTCTTCTTGGTTCGGTTCGGTTCGCTTTCACAAGGAAACATTTCAAAGCATGCCAAAATCTGTTTATGCAAGTCACATATGTGAGTAAAAGTGTCCTCTCATTAGTCAGAGTACACCCGTTTATGTTCCTCATAGCATCATCAAGATGGATTGACAAGTTAGCTGCTGCTTTAAACGCAACACATTTCCCATTATGAATTATGATACAGATTGGTTTGTTGGCCCGTTGGGTCAGGTTGCTTTCTTTCCACAGAATGGGTTTTTAATTGGACTAAAACCACCTTGTTCAGGAGATCTCGGATTGATTTATTTGGTGCGGATCTGAACGTGATTGCCCTGTTCATATATGCCTTAACAAACCAAACTAAGGGTATATTAACATGACAGCAATGTACTAAAAACGGAAACGTTTTTCCTTTGTGTTGTTTGCGTGCAGACGACAACGTTGTCAAAACGCTTCCTGTTCACACGTATCCGCAAAAACTACTGAAAACGCTGTATTATGTTGCCAGCCCAGTAATTGGCGATGTCTCTAGGTAAAGAAACACAGATTGAGCAAGTAATACGCATGCCCATGTTGCACCGTTTTCACAAATCCGCGGTTTTACATGGATAACAGTATCATTTTCAAAAACTTGCACTTCGAAACCAGTTTTCAAAAGTTTGTGTTTTCAGCCCCCCAAAACACCGTTGTCGTGTAAATGACCAGTCAAAACCGGTTGTTTTTTAAGGGAGAAAACATGCCAGGTACTGAAACAAATGCTCCAAACGAGCTAGGTGTGAACTTAATCTCAGATGAGACCGCCTTAAATCCGTTGATTGACTTTTTGATACATATCTTCTGTTCAGATGTAATTGGCTGCCCTTATGTAACTTCTGGGACACCGGGCACGTGAAGAAAAAAAAACCTGTTGGTTTCTATGTCAGTCAGAAGGTGTCTTCTTGTCTAAGTGAGCGGTTCTTGGCCAGAATTAGCTGCAATGTGAACCGGATTCCATGTCAAAGGCAAAAATCTACCAAATACGAGAAAGCTGGACTGAATAAACCGAGGCTCTGACGTTCTTTGGATATCTCTGTTGGATACTGGTGTTCAAAATGTCTCCCGGAAGTGAAGTGACTTCTTCTGTCTCTGTTTGCTCTCGCTCTCATACTGAACTGTTTATCCTGATTACATCAGGCCGTCATCATTAATTCGCACCTTGGGGGTCCTTCTCTCCTCTGAGCTACGGCCACAATGAAACGCTTGTTCTGCTTTGTTATTCCACTGGAAACTACTGTGCAGCCGGGCCATAGACATGAAGGCATCAGATTTATTTGATAAATTGTAAAAACGTCACTTAAGCAGGAGAACAGGGCTCTTTATTATTGCAAGCTGCTATAAAGTCAAGGGGAGACACTGCCATGCTCTGTGTTCTTCTTCCTGAAGAGCGGATCTGAACTAGTCCAGCGATCTCAGGACTGGAGATCCTCGCAGACACACATTAATTGAAGTCAGAAAAGTTTAAAATTACGTTCCACACACAGAAACGTTACGCATGTGCAGTACTTAAAGCAACACTGTATTTGTTCGGTACACATGTGAGCCGAAGCAAAAGACATACCAAAAAAAACGGTACTAATACCGTTACACCCCTAGCTAGACCCTCAGCACTCACATTTTCTTCAGAAAATATAAAAATCTATTTATATGGACTTGCATGTGTTTCTCTTTAGAGATGTCAAGAAGATAGGCTTGAATGAAAAAAACTCGACTTTATGGAGATAAATATAAAACAAG